CCCACTTTTTTTTTTTTAACTCTTTCTAACCTGTGGGTTAAGCAAGCCCATTATGGGTTTGGCCAGGCCCACAATGGGATGGCTGGGTGATGAGGGATGGGACATTTTAAAATTAGGATGTTATACTTTTAAGTTACAAAAGATACAATATATAATATAAATATAGAAATTTGAAAAGTAACATGAGTAATGATTACATATAATAATAAACTGTATGAAAATAATTAAGAAAAATTATTAAAAAATAAATATTACATTAGTTTTTATTTATTTCTTAAAAGCATGTTTTTGGTTGCTCCTAGCTGCTTCTAGAAGTTTTTTATTTTTTATTATTTCTTCGTAAAAATTTTTACATTTACTTTTTATGTTACTGCAAATTAGCTTTAACATTCTCAGGTATTAATTTGTTTCTTTTATCTCACCATAAGTTATTTATTGAAGAGAAACATCTTTCAAAGTATGCATTAGAAATTGGAATGCTAAATATAAATTCAATTATCCTCTGAACATTTGGAAAATTTCCTATTTTTTAATATGCCCATAACTGAATTATTTTTTTCTGCTTTTAACTTGTCCTCCAAATTTCCTACTCTTTCCTTTATTATGCAAAGTTCATTAAAAACATCGTAACCTTTTACTTTGAAGTCAATTTTGTTTATATATTTATCAAGTTCACAGCAGTCTTGTATAGTTGGAACATTATTTTTTAAATTAAATTTTTGAACTAAAATAAAAAATGCATTTTTGAAATCATAACAGTTATTTAAATATTTCAATGCTCATGAGTACACCTTATTGACTTCTTGTTTGAATATTTTTTCTTATTCTCTGGAAAATCCAAAAGAGCCCGATTAACTATAAAACCGTAAAAGCACTGTTCTTTTCTCTGCACTATATTGTTTCTAAGATCTGTAAAAACAGTATGTAATTCAGTGACGTCAATGTTTTCTCCTTCAAAAATTAATATATATTTTTGGAAAATATGTAAAAAGGAATGTACAAAATATAACATCAGTTCTGGTAAGGATTTTTCATTGTTAATACTATTTTTATGATCTTGCACAAATGTCCAGATTGTAGGATACATTCTTCTTCCTGATTTATAAAATAAAGGGTAATAGCAGGCCAATTTTTCAGTAACCTATCAATAGCTTTATATAAGCTTACCCATATAGTAGAAATATGCTTCAAGGTTTCATAGTATGACTGTTCCAGGAAATCAAAACAATTTCTTAATTCTTTGATGTTGCAGATACTCAATGAAAATTTGCTATAGACTTAATACTAAACTTTCCACATCATATTTCATTGTTTTTAATGCATATTTAGTGATAGTATAGAGAATATGACAGTTACAATTAGCTTTTATTAAATTATTGTTAATTGTTTGTAATCTCATAAAATTTGAAGATTTACATCCAAAATTGACCAGTGCATTATCAGCTCCAAATGAGGTGATATTTTCAATCGTTCATTTTATAACAAAAAATTTCTTCAGAAGTTTTACCCCATGTTTTTTTAAAATCTATCAAAGCATGCACAATAGGTTGCTCATTGTCAATCAAATTAAAATAACAAATGGTGATTGGAAATAGTTTTTTATTACCTTTATTAGAAGCATCTGTGTCAATATTAAATGCTTCACAACAGATATTAGCTCCATATTATAAGTTTTGCGCAATTGATTCAATTTTTGTATGCCCAAGTCTTATATTTTTACAAACCATTGAGTCAGTAAATATGGAATTGCTAACTTTACTTCCACATTCTATGGATAAATAATTTTTTCAACAGAAAAGTTTTACATTTGATCAGGTAACAGCAGCAGAATTTACACCATGATAAACTTGTGTCAATTCTGCTGCTGTTACCTGATCAAATGTAAAACTTTTCTGTTGAAAAAATTGTGTCAGATTGGAGTTATGAGTAATACTACGTTCGCACACAATCCACAACTCACTTCAATCTCGATTTACCTACAATCTGGATTGTGACTGTCGCTAGTCGAACGTCGTGCTGTTCGCACAGGCAGTCCACTCGAGAAGAACCTGGCTATTACACGCAATCATAAAACTGACATAACTACGCGGTAAGTCACAAACACCAACAAACAAAATGGAAGTTTTGGTTAGAAATAAATACATTTTCTTGCTGTACATCTAATAATAGACAGATGTCATTGTCTCTCCAGATGTCTTTTTTATTTCGCTGTCGATAGCCTGACACGTGTTCCGCAGCCATCCTGTATTTTCTCGCGCGCGTATGATTGTGGGATCTCTCTTATGACTGGATCTAGTTTCGAGAACTCTCTCCAGTCGATTGCGATTGAACCTCATTTCAGTCGAGATTGAAACGGTCGAGAGCATTCGCACCACGGAACAGTCTCCAACCTTAGTCATAATCTAGATCAAAATGCTCGATGCGAACGGGGTATAATTAAAAATACTCTTTTCTTATGAGTTTTTGCGAGGTTTCACATCTTTAATGTAAAGTGGGATGGTGTAAAAAATAGTATTGCAAACACAATACTTAGCCATTTCATCAGATTCTTGAACAGGTCGTAACCATTTACTAAATCTCTAACTGCATTAATTAATTACTACATTTCACTATACCTTTAAAATGCAGTCTACTTTTGTCAGTTCTCTAACGTTTTCGGTCTAATTTATAGACCTTCTTCAGGATTGATGTAAAATATTTTAAAAATTTGAACTTTCTCAACGGTAATTCGAACCACGCACGTTCTATAATCTTCAGATATTCGATCGCGCATGTCCATTAGCTCTTTATAATGCCGCCGCTCTCCATGCCGTTGCTATTCTACTTGACTCTCGAAAATTTATATTAAGCCCCTTTTCTCTGTATTTATAAATGTGCCATGCCTCTGCATACTTTAGATGTCGTATATTATCGATCTTTTGTACAATATCCGCCTTGCTCCATTCGATTGTAATCTCTGCAGGATCCGCGATAGCATAATTGGCCAAAGCCGTGATCGGTTGTTTAGATCTTATATTTTTTTCGTGCTCCTTCAATCTTTCTCTTAATGATCTCTTTGTGGCTCCTATATAATATAACTCTTTCTTTAGCCTTTTATCATGCAACGGTATTCTGTACACACCTGGAACTAGCCTCCTGTCTATTGGTGTTTTGTCATTTCTTAGCATTTGGAATATTGTCGTGTTTCTCTTATATGCTATTTTCTTTTTGCTCTCTACTCCTATTTTTCTGTATATGCCACTTAACGGTGCTCTGTATTCCATTACGGTGAACTCCTTTTTTTCTTTCTTATCTTTAGTCTTATTGCATCCTTTTTCCGCTTCTTGTATTAAGGCTTTTACTTTACTTTGCTTAAGTCCTACATCTCTTGCTAATTTTGCAATGTAATCAAGTTCTTTACGTGTGTCATACATCCTGCTACAATGAGTGTATGCTCGTTTAATAAGTGCTCTAAACGCTGCTAGTTTGTAGTTTGTTGGGTCATGCGAGGACCATGGTATCAAATCCGGAACGTACGTCGGTTTTCTATACACTTTTGTAACAATTTGCTCTTTATCATCTATTTCAACCTCTATATCCAAGAAGTGTACTCTTTTTTGATCTTGCTGCTCTAGTTCTAATTCCAAGCCATACTTATTGTTGTTTATATCTCTAATAAATTGTCGTATGTCTGGTTTATCATTCCAAATAATCAATACGTCGTCGACGTACCTTGCATACATTATCATTTTATCTTCATACTTCTGCAGTACGCTATTTTCCAGAGATCTTATTACCATCTCGCACAGTAAGCCTGAAACCGGGCTACCCATTGGTACTCCTCTAAGTTGCGAGTATGCAGTACCGTCAAAAACGAAAATTGACGAGAATGTAGCTAAATGCGCCAGTTCTAGGATTTGTTTTCTTAACTTCGCTGCGTTGTCGATATTGCCCAGTAAAAAATCTCTTAAGTGACAAAAGCATGGTTCAAGCTTAATTGAAGGGTACATAGCCTTAAAATCGAGCACCGTCATGTATCTTATTTCGTTAACTTTCAGTTGTTTCAACTTCTGGAGCACTTCTAATGGTTGCTTTACGTTATAAATGTGGGGAGGCATGTTCGTATTAATAAATTCCTTAAGTTTCCTTTCTAATAATATCGTAGGAGCACAGCATTTATCTACTACTGGCCTCAAGCTTCTTTCAGATTTATGCGTTTTAGCAAATCCGAATAGCCTCGGCATGGCTGGGGATGAAGTTATTATTCTCGTCATACCTAGTTGCTTAGCTAAAGTTGTCGTAGAGAAACGTTTTATTCTTGCTTGTAACCTTTCCAAGGCCTTTGGGTGTGCTTTTTTGCATTCCGTGTCTCTTATGTACGTCGTTAAAAGCTCCTTATATGTGTCCCTCTTCATTAAGACCATATTTTTTGACTTGTCAGCTCTTGTAAGCACTATACCGTTATCGCACATCCATTGCTTACTTTCTCTTATATTTTTCCAGACTGCGTCTTGCGTCGATCTTGCAATTTCATTGTTTATTTTAAAAACTGTTCTCCATCTAAAAGCCTCTTTTTTAAGCTCGCTAAGCCCTTCTACCGCTTGCTCGACATCAGGGATAATTTTTTCATACGTAAGCTTAGGGCGAGGTACGTACTTGGGGCCAAATTTGCAAGCCTCCTTCACGCACGTTGGTGGTGCTACATTATCCCAACATACTATTGCCGATACTGTTTGCGGTCTTGTGTTTCTTTGTTGTTTTGCTCTTATCCATCCCATTTTCTTCTTATAATTCGAACTCAACCTTTCTGTGACTTGATCCGCTAAGTTTACTACTCTGCTATTAACGTTATCAAGTAATTCCGGATCTATTTCATACAGTTGATTTTCTACTTCTATTAGTTTTTCTATCAAATGACGGTGCTCGATTTTAAGGCCATGCTTTTGTCACTTAAGAGATTTTTTACTGGGCAATATCGACAACGCAGCGAAGTTAAGAAAACAAATCCTAGAATTGGCGCATTTAGCTACATTCTCGTCAATTTTCGTTTTTGACGGTACTGCATACTCGCAACTTAGAGGAGTACCAATGGGTAGCCCGGTTTCAGGCTTACTGTGCGAGATGGTAATAAGATCTCTGGAAAATAGCGTACTGCAGAAGTATGAAGATAAAATGATAATGTATGCAAGGTACGTCGACGACGTATTGATTATTTGGAATGATAAACCAGACATACGACAATTTATTAGAGATATAAACAACAATAAGTATGGCTTGGAATTAGAACTAGAGCAGCAAGATCAAAAAAGAGTACACTTCTTGGATATAGAGGTCGAAATAGATGATAAAGAGCAAATTGTTACAAAAGTGTATAGAAAACCGACGTACGTTCCGGATTTGATACCATGGTCCTCGCATGACCCAACAAACTACAAACTAGCAGCGTTTAGAGCACTTATTAAACGAGCATACACTCATTGTAGCAGGATGTATGACACACGTAAAGAACTTGATTACATTGCAAAATTAGCAAGAGATGTAGGACTTAAGCAAAGTAAAGTAAAAGCCTTAATACAAGAAGCGGAAAAAGGATGCAATAAGACTAAAGATAAGAAAGAAAAAAAGGAGTTCACCGTAATGGAATACAGAGCACCGTTAAGTGGCATATACAGAAAAATAGGAGTAGAGAGCAAAAAGAAAATAGCATATAAGAGAAACACGACAATATTCCAAATGCTAAGAAATGACAAAACACCAATAGACAGGAGGCTAGTTCCAGGTGTGTACAGAATACCGTTGCATGATAAAAGGCTAAAGAAAGAGTTATATTATATAGGAGCCACAAAGAGATCATTAAGAGAAAGATTGAAGGAGCACGAAAAAAATATAAGATCTAAACAACCGATCACGGCTTTGGCCAATTATGCTATCGCGGATCCTGCAGAGATTACAATCGAATGGAGCAAGGCGGATATTGTACAAAAGATCGATAATATACGACATCTAAAGTATGCAGAGGCATGGCACATTTATAAATACAGAGAAAAGGGGCTTAATATAAATTTTCGAGAGTCAAGTAGAATAGCAACGGCATGGAGAGCGGCGGCATTATAAAGAGCTAATGGGCATGCGCGATCGAATATCTGAAGATTATAGAACGTGCGTGGTTCGAATTACCGTTGAGAAAGTTCAAATTTTTAAAATATTTTACATCAATCCTGAAGAAGGTCTATAAATTAGACCGAAAACGTTAGAGAACTGACAAAAGTAGACTGCATTTTAAAGGTATAGTGAAATGTAGGTCGTAACCATTTCTGAAATTTTTGTGTCAGCCAATCTTTATTAAATTTATAAGTTTGCTTCCTCTTTTTTGGGTTTTCAATTTCTTGAGTTGTCATATTAAATAATTAAAATAGAAATTATAAACTTGTAAACTGAAACTCACATTTGCTTTACAATACGTGTGTTCAAACACAAATACCTGACTGCGCATGCCTTGTACAGTTTTCAATTCTAACCAATGTCATTTTACAGCCAAGAACTGAACAATGTGCATGCCAGTTTTAAACCAGTTAGGGACTTATGTTGGAACAAACCTAATATTCACAATATAATTGGATTGCTGTATTTTAGATTTCAATGCAAAAACTTCTTTGTAATTAAAAAAAAATTATGGTAGACTGTGTCACAGCAATTTTTGGTTAGAATTACGATTTTATTTTCAAATTGAACATTTTTACATATGCATTTCGGATTGGTGTAATCTAATCCAACCCCTCTTCAGTGCTGTTTTGAAAAACAATAAAAATAAATAAGATATATAAAAACCAAAAAATTTAAAACACAACAACAAATATACCATCAGAAATATTATAACAAATCACTTACTATTTTCAAGTATGAATTAAAAGAAGAGAAGGAGAATATACCTCTTCCTTACCCAGACTTACATCTAAATGTAGATTGTAAAGCCAGTATTAACATACATTGGAAGATATACATTATTTAAAAATAATATCTTTAAAAACAAACAATGAACTTACATAAGAACAAATTTTCCTAAAAAGCATGAGTAGGTATTGTATCTGCTCAAAGAACTGTATAAGTGTTAAATGTTCATATAACAAGAATACAAATGCTAAAAAAATAAAAATACAAAAAATATATAAAAATTGACAATCATTTGCAGAGATTAATAAAGTTGTATTAAACTTACATTATTTTCGTACTGTTAAAATACATTTATAAATAAAGATATATACAATAAAAAGAATCTGCATATCACAAAACTCAATCCATCAATGTACTGTGTTTTAACCTCTCACAATATTTAACACTATGTAGCGCTCTCTACCAATTTATACCAATGGCAGTCAATTTGCATACCTTCAGAACTATTTATTAAATTATTTTTTTGATGTTTTTTTATTTCTAAATGTTGTTTAAATTTTCTTTTATAAATGTCTTTTTCATAATGTAAGATTTTTATATTATTGCAATTGATTTTACAGTTATTATTTTTTATATGGTTATACCATAGGGAATTATTGTATTTTAATCTAATGGCCACTTTATGTTGATTTATCCTAACCTCCAGTGCACGTCCAGTTTCTCCTATATACATATATGGGTTATGACAATTACATTCTATTTTATACACTACACCAGCCTTTTTAAGGAAATCTATATTATTGTTATTACTCTTATTAACATATCTATAAATATTCTGTTAAATCTTATTTGGGCATTTGCAAATCCCCAAAGATGGGCATTTGCATTGAAACCTAATCTTTTCAAAATACCCATAAATCTTTTTATAAATTTATTTTTTATCATAATATTTCACAATTTATACAAAAACCAGACAAATTAATAATTAATCCGAATCTTGAATTTAAAACTGGTCTGTCTGGGTGAAAACCGGCCTGGTGGCAACACTATTATAGTTCTTGGAAAAAACCACACAAAAATAATCTGATATTGGATTTAACTGTAGTGAATAAGGACAAAGTTTAAAATGCATTTATTCTTTTTACAAATAATAATGAGTAACTATTCCACTACAATGAAAATAAACATCAACTCTGATTAACATGGATGAAGACTAATGTAATTTATCATATGAATGTTAGCATATACTACAGATAATTTTAAATACTAATTTAAGTTGAAGGTAATTTTGATATATTGAAATATAATGATATTACTGGATATATAGATACTTTACTACATTTGAAATCACATTCACTTTGTATTTTATTGATATTAAAAGAAACTAACAAATAATTATTAACTTGCAATTTTATCCAATAATATACAGTGGTACCTCAGGATACGAAATTAATCCGTTCCGAAACTGAGATCGTATCATGAAAATGTCATAAGGTGGATCATCTTTTCCCATACGATTACATGTAAAAATAATTCGTTCCAACGCGAAAAACATACTCAAATTAAAGCCAAGTAATACATTAAAAAAAATAACTGTAGTAAGAAAAACAAATGAAAAATGCGAACTAATGTAACGTCGTATGCTGAGTTTTTGTTCGTATCGTGGAGCAAAAATATGTTCGAATTTCATGTCGTATCCTGAAAATTTCGTATGCTGGGGCGTTTGTAACCTGAGGTACCACTGTATATACATATTTTATATCTCTTGGTTTTAATTCTTGTTTTCTTCTTGTATTCGTCCTTATGTATATCAATTAATGGAATATCTTATTCTTAAGTTATTTTTTTTTTTTTACTTATCTCTAAACAGCAGATTCAAAAATTCCTTTATTTAATATTATTTCAGAGCCTTATAATGGCCTTTCAATAAGTTATTTCAGATATTTTAATATTGTTTTTATGCATTTGTAATACAATTTTTATTTCATCCAAGTTACTAACTTCTTATGATTTCCTGTTGTCAGAGTAGATGCAATGTGTTATAACAACTTGGTGTGATCTTGCTTTAGAATTAATATACTGCAGCCTATATTTTAAAAGGTAGTTCAGAATTCCATACTTCAAAATCTCTTTCTATCACTGATGAAAACGAAAAATTTTACTTGTTATTGAATATAAATCTATACATATAAATATCAATAATAACCAATATAGATTTTTATTATTCATATTTAGATTTTTCTAATATCTAAATAGCTAAAGGCCAGATTTTTATGAATTGTTTACTAATTGCTAGAAACTAATTATTAAAACAAACAGTTATTTATTTTCACATCATCACAATGCCAGGCTGCAATTTTAATCATATTTTTAATTTATTTAATTTAAAGTACAGGGTTAGCAAGAAATAAGTTTTCCACTTCAGAGAACTCTGGAGTGTGTTCTACTGCTCAAAATGAGACAAAATTTGGATTACAGATAATTCAAATGAAGCACTTGACATCTCTCTCAAAAAAATTGTACAAAATTCCATCAATAGGTGGCACTGGAGCACACAGAAATATTGAATATGTAGCACTAAAACTGCTCAATATGTCCTCCTTCAGTTTGAACAATGTGCATTAATTGCAAAACCAAATTTTCCACAGCTGAATGCAGTGATGATATATTCAAAATATGATGCCAAATGCTGTTCTTCAGATCTGGCACAGATGCAGTTCTTCTATGGTAGACATTGTCCTTCAGGAAACCCCATAGCCAAAAGTTGCATGGTGTTTCACATGTTCAAATTTTTGTACATTTTTTTTTAAGAAATATCAAGTGCATCATTTGAATTATCTATAGTCCAAGTTTTATCTCATTTCGAGCAGTAGAATGCACTCCAGTGCTCTCTGAAGTGGGAAACTTATTTCTTGCTAACCCTGTATATGCTCTGTATTTTAGTAGTGTCTTGTCCCTCATACTTTTTAACTATAGAGTCATGCCAGTAATCTAACTCACAACTTTTTATATTTGATTCTCAAACACTGTATGTCCACAGAAATAACCAAATTTCTGATTCTGTCCCCTGCACTCCCTTGGTATTGTGATAGGACTGACTTCACAATTCTAGCATGAAAATAATCTGACCTTTAACTTTAATTATGTTACTGAAATTGGCTATGGTGTATATGTATATCATAGCCCAATTTTATATTTATATTATAAAAATATATATTTTATATATACATATATTGTACAACAGTTCAAATTAAACAACTGTTATAGTTCATTATGATTTTATATTCTGTTTGTTTCTTTTAAGGTTCAGGTGAAGTTGAAAATCAGTTGCTAATGTCAAGTGATATAATGTTTAAATCTCCTATAAAATGTTTCCAAGAGAAGACAAACAATGATGTGTCTCATCAGCAAATTGCTACTTTGTCATCATTACCAGGACATATGAATTCATATTATCAGTCAGTATGGACTGACAGATCTCAAAATGATAATACTAAACAAGCAGTTCAGGCTGTATTAACAGGAAAATGGACATTAAGGAAAGCTTCAGATTATTACAAAATACCACTTACTACCTTATGGAAGCGCGTACAGTGTGCAAAGAATAAGACATTAACAGTGAGTGAAGTCCCCCAAACTTCATGATGAAAAATATTGCAAGTATTAAAACAGTATAATGTTATACAATTTTATTTTTTAAATTTTTGATATATGTAATCAGTATTATGGTTAGCTTTTGCTCTCATATTCGTATTTGCAAAATTTTAAGTTATTTTTTTACCTCAATTTTCATTTTTTGATTATCATAAATATAGAATATAATATTGTATATGAAGAAAATTCATAGTTTCACAGTAAAAAAACATATACAAATCTTTTAATAAATGGTGTTTCTTTTGAATATTACATTATGCATTATTAACTTACTGTTTTTGAATACTTAAATGATTATAATAATACACAGATGAATATAATATAATTCAATTATTAATGATCTATAAGTTTAAACTATAATAAATGTTTATTTTCAAGAAATTAAAATTACATTACGATATTATTGTATAATAAATATTTTCTTCTGGAAAATTATGCTTTGGTTTTTAACTTAACTAATTTTCTCTGTCTGTAAATGAATGAGGATTAGATTTAGAATTTTTAGTATAAAACACAATTACTTAAAGAATAGGATATGTCTAAATTAATTTAAAGTCACTGTTTTATTGAAAGTCACAATATTGAAATACTAATAAAATTCTAATCTCTAGCTTCAGCCACTTTCTTTTAACAACGAAACATTTTCAGTCTTTTATAATTACAGTACTCTGTACCTTCAGCTTGTGTTAAGATATTGAAATACATTTTACATATTAAAAAACAACAGATAAACAGAACTAAAATAAATTTATAAAAAGGTATGTCAAATGATTTTTTTAAATCTGCCATGAAATAAACAACTGAAGTGTAATAATTTAGGAGATATTAATATGATTTTTAATTTTTTTATTTACATTAGTAGCCAATAAAAACAGATTTTAAGTTATTATTGTAATAGTAATTGTAACACCTATTATTGTAATAGTAATTTCACTTAAATCTTTAATTAATTTTATTATTATTATTATTATTATTATTATTATTATTATTTAAATTGTCAATTCAGTCTCTATTTGCATCTCTGAAAATTTTAGCAATGATTCATTGAAAATATAAAATAAATTATATAATTATTGTGTAATATTTGTATTAAAATATAATTTGATGAAGTTCTTTAAAAAAATTTTAATATTTTTGTAATTTTACTACTGTGTAAAGTAGAGGATAAAAACTTTGACTCTAGCAGTAGCATACAAGTAAAAGTCTGTTGTGAGGTGTATGCTTCAGTGTTTATAAAATTTTTCCATCAGTATGGACTTTTATTATTGTCCTATAAAATATTTGAAGTATATTTTATAGGACAATAATTTTAATAGGACAGTATATTTGAAGTACAGTAGAGCATTGATTATCCAACTCAATTGGGGACTCAGGTTGGTCAGATAACTGAAAAAATCAGATAACCGATAAGAAGGAAAAAATACATTATTAGTATAGTATATTAGGATATTAGTATATCCCATGTAATTAGTTTATTAGTATATTGCTATTAACCAACTTTGCGTTGAATTTTCATTGATGTTTAGCCTAACAAATTTTTTCTAAAATAATAATCGTTGCTATTGTATCGTTAAAAATTATTTTTAAATTATTTTATTGCTCATGAAACAAACAACCACTCATAATTAAAAAATTAAGTCTCGTTTAAATATTGGCCTCCCTTCAATGGTCGAGTTGTTGATGCCAGCTAAAACATGCAAAAATTTAACAAAAAGTAATATTAAAGTAGCCAAGACATAGCCAAATGTTGTAGTGCCACATCACTAGCGGACATTTGAATTTTGCCGACTAGAACGGTTGGTTAACCAATGTGACGGTTAATTGGGGGTCGGATAATCGATGCTCTACTGTATATATATTTGAGAAGTCTGTCAGTTTAAAAAAATTAAATTTAATCCATGGACTGCTGCTTTTCAAACTTTATTTTCACATGTTTCAAAAAGTTTTAGAAATCTTTAGTCAAAATTTGCATGTTCCAAGTTGATCAAAGGGAGCAATTATATCTTCAGTATAGTAGAATGTTGCCATATATATTCAAAACACACAATCTTCATTTGGATGATACTTCTTTAAGAATGAGACTAGTGTCTTCTTGATACACTCTATACCAGAGATGGCCAACCTTTTTCTATGTAAGGGCTGCATTTATAAAATTTTGAACTGATGCAAGCTGCATACAAGAGAAAAGAGAAAAAAAATGACAGTAAATCACAATTATTTATTCATATATGATTATAAATTAGCATATTTATACTTAATTTAGCTTCTGGAACTGATGTAAATGTAATATATTGGAAATAGTTGGTTAAATATTAGTCACTACTAGTTTTAAATTAGTTTTGATCTGTCTGTTATCTAATTTCTTGTTTTAATTTTTACTAAATTCATTGCAGAAAAACTATTCATGCACTTAAGTTGTAAAAATAACATTTGAATTTTTCCTGCATACTTCCGTAAGCTGGGAAATTGATATATTTATTCATATTTTATGCAACGCAGGCCACAAAAAATATTAATTCAAGATGCATGAGACCCGGGGCCGTGGGTTGCCCATCTCTGCTCTATACTTATATTTCTGTGTTAAAGTAAAGTTTAGATGGTGCAATGAAGTTCTGAGATTGCTCAAAAAGGGTTATGGCTACTTGCATCAAAACCTTTGTTACGAACTTTGTTATGATGTTTGAACTTCATTTCTGACTTAACATCCTTTCCTTGTTTACAGTAAAAGTTTTTATTTTCTACACATTTCCTGTAAAATTAGACTTGTCATCCATAACAACTTTAGATTGTTTTTGGGTCACAAATCTTTGTTCAGTCATTAGAGTAACTTTTTTCAATTTTCTAATAACAATACACCTTTCCATTAATATTTCACATGTTTATTGGACATTATGAACTTTTGGCCCAGTTTAGAGAAACTGGCTCACCTTACCAATAACAACATTGGTTAACTGCTAATGCTCTGCTTCAGTCAGTTTAACCCATCTTCCACTTTCTTCAGCTCTAGATAGTGTTTTCTTCTCAACCAATCTCTTAATTATATTTTGTATTGTGTTTGTTGAAATGTTCTTACATTTAAAATGTTTCACAGTGAAAAGTTTACCCTTCACCCTTCTTCAAATTTCTAGTATAAAAATTCCAATTATTTATCTATCTTCATCTTTTTAAGCCTTCCATTTCTAAAAGTCAACTGATTTTTAAAAAAATAAATTCAGAATTGAATAAAGAACAGTAAATCTGTACATTCAATTTCTTTTTTTTCTACACACACATGTGCAGAAAAAATAGAGGAAGTTATTTCAGATTTTTAGTTTACATGCCTAACAAATCCTACGTCACATAAGTGATCCAATCCAATAGTTTATAAAAAATTTGTTTGAAACAGATGGTTTAATTAATTTATTAATCAAAAATTAAATGCAGAAACTGGGTAATCATAAAGAGAAAAACATAGATTCCAGCACAAATTCTTTTTATCTTATTCAAAGGTCTTCATCATGCTATATAACTTTGAACATGAAGTATGCTCATAGAATGTCTGCGAATGGAGCAAAGTACAGTGGTACCTTAGTATTCAAATTTAATTTGTTTGAGTATCAAACAAATTGTTCCCATAAGGAATAATGTAAAATTAGATTAATCTGTTCCAGACCTCCCCAAAAAAATGTACTTATAAAAGCATTTTCACTCAAATTTAACACAAATTTAACAAGAAGTTTACAAGCCTGTATGTATAAACCATAAAAAGAAAACAAAAAATGCAAAGAAATGAGTAAGTTTACAGTAAAGTTTAGCAGGGTTTTGCACTGAGTGACAGCTACTCGAAGACTGACATATTTCTTTGTTTCAACTGGGGATACCTATACACGATGCAGAGTGACAAAATGTGTCTATTAATTTTATAGGATTGAACAGAAAGATTTTGTATATTTTTAACAGCTATCATTACTTCATGTGATTTAAGTATGATTTAGTATCTTAAAGGAAATTATATGTTGCTTAATATACTCCACATCAATGTTCAAATCGATTTTTAAAAAATTTTAAAAATTACATGTACAATGCAGCAACATTCTATAAATAGAACTGTTATTTTTGTTTGACTTTTCCTGATGAAGGCCAATTAACCAGTTGAATGTTAACCAATTAAACATTTGAATGTTGAATTTCAGTGTTTTGCTGGAAATTTGACATTTAGGCAAGAGTATAAGTATAATTTAGTTATGACAGTTGTGAAGTTTAACACATTATTGCTAATGTGAGATTATATTCTTTGTTTAAAGCTTATTTTGAACTTTTTAGTTCATATTGGCTTGATTTTACTCAAAGTGTCTGCATGTAAAATGCTTATCCAACATAGTTTACTTTAAAAGAAAAATAAGCATAATGTCTTTCAGCATGAAAGTCATTTACTTGAAAAGTTTTTAATTACAAACAAGTACTTTCAACATTTCAAGATGTCATCTTCAGGCAGAGCTACATAACATTCAAACTCTTGATTTTTGGAAAGGCTATAATGCCGTATAAACAGTAAAATCATAATGGGAAAGATACTCCTAAACTTTGAATGTGTCAAATGTGGTTTTAAAAGTTCTTGAACAAAACTTTTAAAACCATACTTTGAACTAAAGGATACACAATGTACATGATGCCCAAAAGGTATCGACGACAAAAATTTCAAGAAGAAAGTGTTAAAAATCAATGAATAACAACTTGAAAATTTGCAACAAATCTTAATTTGTCACAAACATGCATTTCATTGACTTGAAATGGCTGCAAAACATGATGATTGAGTTCTGCACATATTAAGTGAAAAAAAAAAACTTCATTGAGCATAATTTTGTCTGACGAAAATAGACAGACAGCTCTAGGATTTTATTTTTTTTTAAATTAGTTACTTCTTTTATTAAAAAAAAAAAAGAAGAAGAAGAAGAAGGCCCTGTTAGTGCATCAGGTTAGAAAGAATTAAAACTAAACTAAACTAAACTTGGTTAATGTTACCTATGGTTCCAAAATGGCTGCGCTTCTGACTGTTCATGGTCCAGACGGACTCCTCCTGAAGAGGAGCCGCCAGCAAGCTGCCAAGTGCCAAACGTCACTAGTTATTGATTCACAGTAGTTCTTGAACAAAATAAATTTTAAAAAAAAGGAAACGTCTAATAAAATTGTAGCTAATCTAATGGAAACAAAATGAACCTAACCGAAGCACTGCCATTTTGGAACCATAGGTAACATAGATCCTAAACTTTAACTGAAATATTGTGTATTTAAAGTGAACTTTCTAAATATTTAGTTGACTTATTTCTCTTTAATTATCTTGTTCCATAAATAATAGTGGTTCATTTTGTGCACATTTAAATTGTTATAAAAAATAATGTTACAGACAACAATAATTTGGTAATTATAATTAAAGAGCAGTTTGCAAAACAGGAAAAAAATTTTAATTAGTTAACTATTTTTGCTAAATGTATGAAGCAAAAATAGTTAACTAATTAAAATTTATAATAAAGTTATAAAATTTTAAAGCTCCAAAAGAAAGAATTCATAGTTTTTCTGAATGGTATATCTAGACCTAAACAAAATGTAGCTAAACTAGACAAAAATATTTTATTTGAACTTTGAAAAATCTACATGTTTTTAACAATGTTTTAACATTCTGTAGATACCAAAGTACAATAAATGATAATTGATATACAGTATTTAAACATGGATTGGACTCAGAAATCTAGACTTGACTCAGATTTATCACATTTCAAAATATCAAGTTTTGTTACACCCTAGTTCAAAGTTATGTAGCCTGATGTAGAGTTTTGAATAAGATTGAAAACATTCCTAATTAAAGGATTTATGGTTGTCTACATTTTTAAATTTATTAATTATTATAAAATCATATAAAAAGTGTTTATTGGAAAAATGAGATTAAAAAAAAAAATGAAACAATGAATTTAAAGAGAGAGATCATCAATAGCATATTGAAGTATGAACCAAAAAAATGTGTCTCAGTGATGAATCAAGTTTATTTTCTTTAAAATGTCACTAATATTTCTTATCTAAATCATAAAGAAGAAAATTATTGTTTTAAAAACTCAAAAGAAATAATTTATAATTTTTCTGAATGATAACCAAAATGCTTAGTTGTAGATATAACAAACCTAACACCTTGATGCTTCTAACAGCATCACTCTGATGACTTATTGTCAAACTAATGGCAAGCTTAAAAGCATGTCAGATCTCAAGAATTACAAATTATAGAATATTTATGAAGTTTCAATTACAGTTGCAAATTACAACATTTTCTTTTGGTACATTTCTGGTACTCTGATAGTGGACCTGTGGTTCAGCCACTGGCGCAGACTGCATCTGACATGATGTTCCAGCAAGACAATGAACACTCACCAGCCTGAATGGAATTCACATCCTCCCCTGTCCATCAACCTTGCCAGATCTCTCTCCCATCAAATACATGTGACTTCATCTGATGAGGTGCACCAAGAACCACCACTATATAGTATAGACAACATGCCTGCCACAGTAGATGCAGTATGGCAAGGGATGGCTCAGGCAACCATTAATCACCTCATTGATAATATGCCTTACTGTATAGTGGTCCATATTCATTACTGAACAAACAGATATCTGTTGCATATCTTTGATTGTTCTTTTAATCATTTGCATATGTCTCTCATTTCTACCAATTTTGCAATTTAAAGATTGCTATGTGCATTTTTTCATGGTGTCTCATTTCACTTTTGAGGAGTGTATTAGAATCAATGGTATTGGAAAATGTGTACGTAATAGGGATTGTAAAAAAAAATGAATAAAAGATCACAACACACATCTTATATTAACACATAACATTTTAGATAAAATTATAAGGTCAAAACAGAAATATACTGAATTTCACCACAAAATATTGATTGATGCATTAGAAATCAGTCACTGTACTTTTCTTAAGTACACTTGCAGCAATTTGTCCATCATGGATTCTGCAAAGATTTTTAACAAGCTTCTATCCAAGTTTCTCCACAAAGTGTGTATGGCATTGTTTGTTCCTCCTTTGTATTGAATTGACAATGTTTATTTTCAAAAACGTTGCATGATGACAAGCCCCACAGATTCTCCATAGAATTTAGGTTCAGACTATGTGCTGATCAATTCAGAACATTAACATTATTGGCTGAAAAGCACTCCTTGATTCTTGCAGATTGATGGCAAGGAGAATTATCCTGTTGAAAAATCCATTCATCAGACACACACAGCAGTGATTATGTTAGCAAATGTTCCATAAGCATATCCTATAATAACAAACAAGTCATTTGTATATAAATAGTCACAATTGGTAGAACACCACTAGAAGCAAATACACTCCAGATCATCATTGACCCACCTTCAAACTGACATTTTGAGAAATACTACTTGTTGCCATGAATATGATTCCATTAATATTGGAAGCCATATGATCCATGTAAGTTAAACTTCTAATCTGGAAAGACAACGTTGTTCTGTTTCTAATCAATGGTTACATACTGATGAGCAAATGATATGGTTTTTCTGGACAGTAGTTAAAGGAGGATAGCTTTTAAATTTTATGAAGTGTAATGTTTTGTTGGTATTTAAGACTCTTTGGACTGTTCTAGAGTTACATGAAAGATCCAAAAGTACCTATCTCTTGAGAGAAGCATTTATCATAACATGCAAGAGACATTGCTTGGTTTCTCTGACAGTGATGATAGACTTCCTGACTGCTTTCTTGTTCCATATTCAGCTTGATTTTGTAGAAAGATGTTCACAATGGTCTTCAAATGTCCTACAACAGCAGAAATTTGTACTCCCATTTTACCATATTGTTTCATTCCCTTAATTTGTCCTCTTTCAAACTCAGATAATTGTGTACTTGTTTGCATGTTTATTGCTCCTGTCCTGAGTTTGAATTGGCATTATGTTAATCTGGTTTATAAAGTTAGAGATGAATGCGAATTGTTTATTGATTTACCTATTGTTACTTGATGAATCACAAAAACATGGTATTGACCTTATACTTTTGTTTAAGATGCTGTATATTGCATTAAACAACAGACCATGAAACACATCTTCTAATTGATTTACTTAAACTCTATTATGCAATTGTTTTTCTTTGCAATTGATTCTCATCATTCATTTTGCTTTATTCATACATAGAAATTATAACAAATTACAATACTTTTTACGAAAACCTTATACTTTTGTCCAACACTGTATATGTGTTACTTAGTCCCAATTTATGTTTTTTTCTCTAGTACTCACCCTCCACATGTTGATACCTTTCTGTATTGTTTTGACAATGTTGCTATGCCTTCAGAATAGAAGTCTTTTGGCTCACACTGGAGACACTACACAACAAATTCTCTGTGACTTCAGTATTCTGGATGAATTTCCTATCTCTCAAGACTACCTTCAAAGGGTCCAGCCAAACAGGTAATAATTACAAGGTAAAAGATCTGCCTGTAAGCCAGTTGATCTAGAATTTCTCAACCAAGTCTATTAGTTGCATGTACCATGCTCAGGGTCATGCCCCAAAGATGTCTATTCTGCAGGCATTTTGGGGCATTATTGCCAAAATGAATGGTGAAGTGCCATCATATGGAGGTATCTAGAGAAAGAAACATAAATTGGGACTATGTCATATACACAGTTCCATTACCATTATAGAAATTCCAGATAGAAATTAAACTATACTCATATAATAATGTAGTATGAAAATGATGTAATGTACATTTAAATAAAATAAAATAACTTACTGGAATGTAATTAAAATAAAATAATCAAACCACCTTACTATTTCCAGCAACGTATTTAATAAATTAAAAACGTTTTCGACTATATTTAATAGTCTTCATCAGTTACGAACTTTAAAACGGAAAACGAACGTAAAATAGAATGTAAGCTATACAACGGTTTAAAAATTAAAATTAATTACGTAAAACGTAAATAAAACATAAAATAAATAAAATATTAAGAAATTAATCGTGGTAACGAATGAAATTAAATTAAAAAATAAAAATTAATCGTCATGGTAAAAAGATTTCCATGCGCAGGATAGACTTTCTGCGTCTCTATGGTTGATGCATCCTTTGTTAATATGCGCCTTGTAAATTTCAAGTTTTTCAATATGTTTAAGGACTTGTTTGTTGGTGGCTGTCCTAATTATGGATGCTTTGTCCCAATGTACATTAATATCTTGATGTTTAGCAAAGGCTGCAAGGACGGTGCTGTCCACGTTTTTAGTAATAGAATACTTATGTTCTTTAATCCTCTGTTTTAAAAGTCTCATGGTGACACCAACGTAAACGAGCTCTGAATTAAAACGGCGATCACTTAATGGAATAGAATAAACTCCTGTAGTATTGTAACTGTTTCCTATCTTCTTGTCATTTCGTAAAATTCTATAAATCGTCGGATTACGACGATAGGTAACTCTTAAATTATTCTTTTGAGATACTTTTTTAATCATTGATTGAAGGAAAGGAATATAGTTGAGAACTACTCTTCGTCCTTGGTTCTTATTTGTAGGTTGCTTGTTTGTTTGATTACAAAATTTATCAATAAGAGCATTAATTTCACTTATACGATATCCCTGTTGTACAGCTATTGTACGTATGTTATTTAATTCTCTGTGTGTGTCAACCATACTCGTACAATGGGTATAGGCCCGCTTTATCCATGATCGAAAGGCTGCATTCTTAATATTATGAGGATCAAAGGAATTCTTCGGTATAATAATAGGAAGATAGATAGGCTTTCGATAAATATCTGTCCATATTTCCCCATATTTACAAGTTATGGACAGATCTAGAAAATTTACGTTATGTCACTTTTCTGTTCCAATGTTAAAGTTACACCATACGGGTTGTTATTCATTTTGTTAAGGAAATATTGAGCGCTATTATTATTCCTCCAAATGATGAAAACATCATCAACGTATCTTGCATATACAAGTATGTCATTTATAAAGACGGGCAGTACATTACTTTCTAATCGCCGTAATACTAGTTCACATAATAACGGAGATATCGGACTCCCCATTGGAACCCCTCTTTCTTGTAAATATGTGTTCCCTTCAAATGCAAAAAACGAAGTATAAGAAATTAGGTGTGCAAGCTCTAAAATATGTTGGTGGTACTTCGTTGCATTATTAATGTTAGTAAGAAGGAAGTCTCTCAGCTCGCAAAAACAAGGCGGCAATTTTATAGATGGAAATAAAGATTTAAAATCCATCACGGTCATAACTTCATTATCTTCAAGGCTAATGTTTCGGAGCTTGTCCACCAGTTGAACAGAGTTGTTAATAGCATAAGGGTAATCTTGAATCCTTGGTCGGATAAATTTAACCAGTTGTTTCTTAATTGCAAAAGTAGGGGATCCACACTTCTCTATAACAGGACGTATAAGGCAGTCAGGTTTATGAGTTTTGCCAAAGGCGAAGATTCTCGGTGTTCTCGGTGCTTGTACTACAGAGTTATGCATTCGTAAATAGCGAGCTAAAGGGGTTGAAGAAAATTTTTTAACTCTTTGTTGTAGTGATTCTAAATACTTTTCAGGAGCAGGCTGGCATTCGGTGTCTCTGATGTATTCCCGCAGTTTTTGGTTGTAGGAACTTCTTTTAATAAGAACTACTCCTTTGGATTTATCAGCTATGATCAGCACTACATCATATTTATGTAGCCATTCTCTTGCGTTTTTAATGCAATTGTGGAATTGTCTGCTCTTTATATTGGCACTTCTTTCTTTGGCGGTGCTTAATCTTGTTTCCCATCTTACGTATTCTTGACTAGTAAGATTCAATTCCTTAATAATCGTTTCAATATTGGGAACAATAAATTCCGGGGATGGTAAAGGAGCCGGAGCAAACAAAATTTGCTCCGGCTCCTATTAAGGAATTGAATCTTACTAGTCAAGAATACGTAAGATGGGAAACAAGATTAAGCACCGCCAAAGAAAGAAGTGCCAATATAAAGAGCAGACAATTCCACAATTGCATTAAAAACGCAAGAGAATGGCTACATAAATATGATGTAGTGCTGATCATAGCTGATAAATCCAAAGGAGTAGTTCTTATTAAAAGAAGTTCCTACAACCAAAAACTGCGGGAATACATCAGAGACACCGAATGCCAGCCTGCTCCTGAAAAGTATTTAGAATCACTACAACAAAGAGTTAAAAAATTTTCTTCAACCCCTTTAGCTCGCTATTTACGAATGCATAACTCTGTAGTACAAGCACCGAGAACACCGAGAATCTTCGCCTTTGGCAAAACTCATAAACCTGACTGCCTTATACGTCCTGTTATAGAGAAGTGTGGATCCCCTACTTTTGCAATTAAGAAACAACTGGTTAAATTTATCCGACCAAGGATTCAAGATTACCCTTATGCTATTAACAACTCTGTTCAACTGGTGGACAAGCTCCGAAACATTAGCCTTGAAGATAATGAAGTTATGACCGTGATGGATTTTAAATCTTTATTTCCATCTATAAAATTGCCGCCTTGTTTTTGCGAGCTGAGAGACTTCCTTCTTACTAACATTAATAATGCAACGAAGTACCACCAACATATTTTAGAGCTTGCACACCTAATTTCTTATACTTCGTTTTTTGCATTTGAAGGGAACACATATTTACAAGAAAGAGGGGTTCCAATGGGGAGTCCGATATCTCCGTTATTATGTGAACTAGTATTACGGCGATTAGAAAGTAATGTACTGCCCGTCTTTATAAATGACATACTTGTATATGCAAGATACGTGGATGATGTTTTCATCATTTGGAGGAATAATAATAGGGCTCAATATTTCCTTAACAAAATGAATAACAACCCGTATGGTGTAACTTTATCATTGGAACAGATAAGTGAAATTAACGTAAATTTTCTGGATCTGTCCATAACTTGTAAATATGGTGAAATATGGACAAATATTTATCGAAAGCCTAGCTATCTTCCTATTATTATACCGAAGAATTCCTTTGATCCTCATAATTTTAAGAATGCAGCCTTTCGATCATGGATAAAGCGGGCCTATACCCATTGTACGAGTATGGTTGACACACACAGAGAATTAAATAACATACGTACAATAGCTGTACAACAGGGATATCGTATAAGTGAAATTAATGCTCTTATTGATAAATTTTGTAATCAAACAAATAAGCAACCTACAACTAAGAACCAAGGACGAAGAGTAGTTCTCAACTATATTCCTTTCCTTCAATCGATGATTAAAAAAGTATCTCAAAAGAATAATTTAAGAGTTACCTATCGTCGTAATCCGACGATTTATAGAATTTTACGAAATGACAAGAAGAAAGGAAACAGTTACAATACTACAGGAGTTTATTCTATTCCATTAAGTGATCGCCGTTTTAATTCAGAGCTCGTTTACGTTGGTGCCACCATGAGACTTTTAAAACAGAGGATTAAAGAACATAAGTATTCTATTACTAAAAACGTGGACAGCACCGTCCTTGCAGCCTTTGCTAAACATCAAGATATTAATGTACATTGGGACAAAGCATCCATAATTAGGACAGCCACCAACAAACAAGTCCTTAAACATATTGAAAAACTTGAAATTTACAAGGCGCATATTAACAAAGGATGCATCAACCATAGAGACGCAGAAAGTCTATCCTGCGCATGGAAATCTTTTTACCTTGACGATTAATTTTTATTTTTTAATTTAATTTCATTCGTTACCACGATTAATTTCTTAATATTTTATTTATTTTATGTTTTATTTACGTTTTACGTAATTAATTTTAATTTTTAAACCGTTGTATAGCTTACATTCTATTTTACGTTCGTTTTCCGTTTTAAAGTTCGTAACTGATGAAGACTATTAAATATAGTCGAAAACGTTTTTAATTTATTAAATACGTTGCTGGAAATAGTAAGGTGGTTTGATTATTTTATGTACATTTAAATTTTTTTAAAGATAAATGTTGTATATAAATAGTGTCCACTGTATTTCTATTTCAAAGGAGTGGGTCAAAAAGATGTATAATTGAAATCAAAGTCAGTATGCACTATAAGATGACAGAACTAATTGTGTTTATACAAATTCATAACAATACATCTTTTAACAAATGTTCATCTTTTATTGTATACTTTTATTATAAACAAACAGTACAGTAATTATTTTTTAAGTCACAGTGGTATTATTGGCCATATAGAAGTTTAGGTATCTGATTAATAGCAATAAATTACAAGGTGATTTTTACTTATTAAAAATGAAAATGCTTCTGTTAAATGGATGATATGATATTCTCTACTTTTGTATTACAAGATGCTACAAATGAGACTTCCCTTATATTGTGATTGCTTCACACTCTGTAGCTAATAATCTATAGCTAATTTTATTTCTCTGAGAGACAACATATTTAGTTGGATCAATTTGATATAGTTCAATTCTGGAAATATGGAAGTGGTGCAAGAATAGAACAAAGAATATGTTCTAGAAATTCTGAGTACAATTTCTAAAAGAATATTGTAATACAGTAAATTTTCACTTAATTGCCTATTGCTCGCTTAAATATCCTTGGGCAATTAAGTCAAACATTTCTCTTATAGTACAATAGAACCATAAAGGTTAGTTTTCACTAAACAATTTCATCAGCAAAATGGATTCATACAGACTATTGCACAGCAAAGACCCATTTATGAATGTAATTATGCTTATGATAGACATTGTCAAACAGCAGTAAGTAGGAAATATTTTGTTCGAAAGTCAGGGTGGCTTACAACAAAATCCTTATTGAGCTGGTGGGAAAAAAGTACATTTTTATACAATCTGTCTTGACAAGAATCATGCTAAAAAATTTTTTATATAATAATATATATGGGCAAAAACTTCCAGCAATTTTAATTTTTCTGTAATTATCTCATTTGCTATTGGACAGAATACTTATGGTGGAAAACATCTAGTGCAATCAAGTATCTGTTTTTCTTTCTGTAATGGACTTAAATGAAAAGGATGAAATTCCAATAAAAATTTCATTCAAAAGAATAATGTATCACCTAATTGAACATGTGCGATTAATGAAGATGTACATTACAGTACAGTATCTATTATCTTTGTTAGAAAGGAAGCAATGTATAAATGAAACTCTGTAATGAATTAAGATGTATAAATGAAAAACACACAAATAATGCTCTGCTGCGTATTCATAATGGAAAAAAGAACTTAAGTCAGCAGTGAATTTCATATCATATCGAGCCAATGTTTTCCACCCAGTTTATAGACCAGTTTTGAACAGTATGAAAGGAAAATGGAATTTTTAAATTTGTCTGAAATAGAATATGACGTTTTTTAGAAACAATAAGAATTTTATATATTCTAAATACAACAAAATCTGAAATATTCAAACAAAAACCTTTGGAGAATATGTTATTAATGTTAGAGATACTTCAATGAGTTTTGTATGAAATTGGTATGTATTAAAAAAGAAAAATTATATATGATATAAACATTAATAAATAAAATAGATTAAATTATTTATATTGCACAAAATATGAAGGATCACATAAGAAATTTGAAAATCCTTATTCATACTCTACTTCATCCAGATTTTTCAATTTTAGTTTTCTTCATATTATTCAAACCTGAGAATGGACTATAAAATAAGCTGAAAATTTTAGTTCAGATATGAAAGTTACTCACTGAATTTGATAAACACATTTGTTTTACTTTCTTATTATTATTAAGAAATATTTCTTTCTACAAATGAATAAATACAAATTTGTGTGCAGATTCTCATTTTCTTTTCTTGGATATATTCCTGAAAAGTATTCTTTTTTGGATAAATAAATATTCTGGAAGATAGTGATTTGCTTAGTATATTAATTTATCATCTAAACCTAGCCAATATTTTTTGGTATATTAACAAGGAAAAAGTATTTATTTTATTTAGAATGGTACATATTAAATTTATAAATAGCATGTGTATGATTAAAAAAAGAATATTTTGATTTTTTTCAGATTGTGAGATATTCAAAATAGATTATTTTCATGGAGCATCATTCATTCTTTCAATAATATTTTTAACATTACTTAGTAACTTGTATACTGTAGGATTGTGGCAATAAATGATCTGTAAATTATTGATGTTCACAATATCGCCGCAATCCTACAATATTTTTAACTCACAAGGTAAATAATTTTGAATGGTTCATTAAATGTTTTTGTGTGCATTTCTTTATTAGTCTATTCATAAATAGGCAAGTCTTTCATAAAATATATTTGTAATCTCAATTAACATATCAAATTTAGAAACAAATAATAATCATGAATGATCTCAAAATTAATAGGTATTGATACATTGATATGAAGAAAGTAAGTTTGAATTCAGATTAGTCATCATATTTGCTTGAAATGTATTGCTCTTGACAGTTATAGTAAATAAAAATTCATGACAATATGTAAGTAAATATATACAAGCATAAATAAACCAGCCAGTAATTGACCATCAATGACCAATCATGAAATTGAGTTGGTTTACATAATGGACTTGTTTGATTTTAATCAGCAATATGTTGTTTGCAGTAATCAATTGCAAGAATTAATAAAATAAAAAATTTATATTAGTTCTTATTAATTGGTAAAAGAAACAAAGAAAGAAATTATTCTTCAGAAAAACTGTGTTTAATTTTATATAACAAGATTTTTCAAGGTAAGTTTATAATCTCCGTCCATGTTTCTTTCTAGATATATATATATTTTTAAGTCTTATAAAAATTATTTGTCTTTGAATTTTGTTTGAAATTATTAAAGAGTATCAATTATATTTATTTTTTTTTATGGAATAAAAATTTTATTCAAACTCTTCAAAAACTGTTTTTAAAGAGTTCTTTAAAATATTGATTTTAGAAAAAAAAGCAATTTAAATTGGATTTTATCTTTGAAGGGCTTTCTTAACAAATGTTTGTTCTCCCAATTTTCATATTCATCTGTATTCTGGATATATAAAAATCAAAACAGTATATAAAGAATCAAAAAACACTGCTATTTTTAAGATTATTAATGAGTTTATTTGAGAAAAAATGTTTTCAGCCAATCTTCAGCATCATATATAATTTTTTAAACAAAACAATACTTTTGAATAGATTTTTCTATTCAAATGTACATATTTTCTAATTAGTGTATAATAATTTTTTTGGGGGGAATAAAATTCATGTTTTCTGTATCCATTTTATGAAGTTAGTTTTAAAAACTACATTTAATATAAATATATAAATTAATTTTAAAAAACACTACTAAGATATTTTCAGTGTGATTTAGTCCATCTTCAGCATCAAACATGCAAACAGAACAGAATGCTTTTGATTCTGTTTGTTTGATATATTATGGTGCCAAGTTTATACAGGGTGTTTAAAACTAGGAATGTTTGAGAGACATTTTTTGTAACATTCATTTGTTCAAATATGAATAAAATGTGTTGGAGAATGTTGGGTAATATTCCAAGTTTTATGCACATGTCTTAAAAGCAGTGGTGATATTCAGCGGGTTCGCATAGGTTCAGCCGAACCCGTTGTTAACATTTTCAAAGTTTTTCGAACCCATTGTTAAACACACATAACATTTCTCAGTGGTTTTGTTTTTTTTAGAAAATATATTAAAATATACGTATTATACTCTGTAACAGTACTAAACTAGAGCCTTATACCCAGTGGTGATATTCAAAATATTTAACAAAGGGTTCGCTAACAGAAAATTTTTCCTTAACAATTTTTTTTCGCTCAAATGATGCATTAGCAACATCAGCGCAAAAACTGACCTTAAGATATCCATATAAATAAAAAAGATGCGTTTGCAAAATTAAGTCAGTTAAAATTTAACATTGTTTATGCCAGAACTATACTTTTTTGATAAATAATAAAAAAAAGTGTTCAAAATGGTTTATTTTGTACACATTATACCCCGTTTGCCTTGGTGCAACCGCCATCAATCGTTTCAATCTCGACTGAAACAAGGTTTAATCGTGATCGACTCAAGAGAGTTCTTGAAACTAGGTCCAGTCATACGAGAGATCCCACAATCCCACAATCCCACATGCTTGAGAAAATACAAGATGGCTGCGGAACACGTGTTGGGCTATCGACAGCGAAATAAAAAAGATATTGTATTTCGAGAGACGATGACATCTGACTATTATTATAATAATACCTAATGATGAAATAAATGATTTAGAAAAGTTTTTTCTTGATAAAAAGTCATAGGGAAAGCAGTTAAACCTACTTTCCCTATTACTTTTTCTGATTAAAAAAAAGCCAATTTTTATGTTTATAAAATATTTTGAATGAAAAATATAAAAATGTGTACAAAATAAACCATTTTGAACACTTTTTTTTTATTGTTTATCCAAAAAATATAGTTCTGGCATAAACAATGTTAAATTTTAACTGACCTTAATTTTGCGAACACATCTTTTTTATTTATATAGGTATCTTAAGGTCAGTTTTTGCACTAATGTTGCTAATGCACCATTTGAGCGAAAAAAAATTGTTAAGGAAAAAAATTTTCTGTTAGCGAACCCTTTGTTAAATATTTTGAATATCACCACTGCTTAAAAGGGTGACTGCTGTTGCACTGTGGCAATTAAGATCTCCACTGCCTCATGGTCTAGATTGCTAGAACCCTATTTCTTGATCCACCTGATCATCTGAAAT